GGAAGAAGGGTTATCAAAAGGAAAGCAGAGGGCCGGCCCGGTGGCGCACTGGAGAGTGCACCACTTGGGAGCGCGGTGGCGCACTGGAGAGTGCACCACTTGGGAGCGCGGTGGCGCTCCCGCCGAGGGTTCGGATCCCATGTGGAGACCGGTTCCCGCTCACTGGCTGAGCGCGGTGCGGGCACAACACCGAGGGTTGCGATCCCGTTGCCGGTCAGTAAAAAAGACAAAAAGAAAAAAAAAAAAGGAAAGCAGAAACGACAAGTGCAGCTGCCAAGGGCCAAGCAAGGAACCAGGAATGCTTCCCATCCCTGGACCTGGCACCACAGAAACCTGGTCGTGTAGGCAGAGAGAGGAGCAGGGCTGAGGACAAGAGCCCCCGGCAGTACATCAGGGCCCAGGAGATGACCACAGAAGTAGCTAGGGAAGGCAAACAGGGCACCACCATGCAGCCTCCTGGAAGCCAAGGGAAGAAGGGTTATCAAAAGGAAAGCAGAGGGCCGGCCCGGTGGCGCACTGGAGAGTGTGCCGCTTGGGAGCGCGGTGGCGCTCCCGCCGAGGGTTCGGATCCCATGTGGAGACCGGTTCCCGCTCACTGGCTGAGCGCGGTGCGGGCGCAACACCGAGGGTTGTGATCCCGTTGCCGGTCAGTAAAAAAGACAAAAAGAAAAAAAAAAAAAGGAAAGCAGAAACTACAAGTGCAGCTGCCAAGGGCCAAGCAAGGAACCAGGAATGCTTCCCATCCCTGGACCTGGCACCACAGAAACCTGGTTGACTGCATGGAGGGTGCACATTGGCTGCCTGCGGTGGGCTTGAGGACTCAGGAGAGCAGAGGCCAGGAGCAGTGGGCACCAACAGAGCACCTCCAAGGCCCCAGCCCGGGTGCTGGGACTGCAAGAGGCTGGAGTGCTCTGCAGTTACCGCACCCTGCCAGGAGGTGGCAGTCATGCACGGGCAGTGGCACTGGGGGGTAGCGGATTGACTTGAGTGAGCAGAGTGAAGCCACGTTTTATTTCAGACACGTTCACGAGCAAATACTTGAGATGCGCTGTGAGAAAAGGGGGCTGACTGTAGGCCCCCGACACTGAGGAATGCTGCTGGGTGTCTGGGATGCTGTTCAACGCCCCCGACACTGAGGAACGCTGCTGGGTGTCTGGGATGGAGGGTGCACATTGGCTGCCTGCGGTGGGCTTGAGGACTCAGGAGAGCAGAGGCCAGGAGCAGTGGGCACCAACAGAGCACCTCCAAGGCCCCAGCCCGGGTGCTGGGACTGCAAGAGGCTGGAGTGCTCTGCAGTTACCGCACCCTGCCAGGAGGTGGCAGTCATGCACGGGCAGTGGCACTGGGGGGTAGCGGATTGACTTGAGTGAGCAGAGTGAAGCCACGTTTTATTTCAGACACGTTCACGAGCAAATACTTGAGATGCGCTGTGAGAAAAGGGGGCTGACTGTAGGCCCCCGACACTGAGGAATGCTGCTGGGTGTCTGGGATGCTGTTCAACACCTCAGAGCTGCACTTCATTCACAAGGCCCACGGGGTTCTCCTGCCTGCCACATCTGTGCGTTTCTATAAACACTGTGTGGCTCACAATGCTGTCCCTTTCGTCGCAGTTTTATAGAATGGTTTGGTGTAATCACATCAGTTTTCAACATGACGTGTATTTTGGTTTTCACTTGAAAGTGCAGTTAGCAACTGTGGACATGTCCCAGATGTCAGCGCTGTGCTGTGGGCAGCACCTGTACTTCCTCCAACTGCCACAAGGCTCAGGGGAGACTGTCCCGGTGGAGGAACAGACACCACCAACATTCACGACGAATTATTTTAATTATTTCTGGCAGAACCATGGGTAATAGTATTTTTCACATACAGAGTTTTTCAACATCAGACACACATTTCAGGAAAAACTAGAATCAGAGGAAGTTCCACCTGTCCACATAGGGAGTGCAGGATAAAAGCCTAGAGCCAGCACCCCGCCCAGTCCCACGTGCCTCCCCCTGTCCAGCGCCGCTCCTGGCTCACCTGCACCACGGTGATGTTGAGGCGGTCCACGGTGCCCAGGGCCCCGCCACACTGCAGCTGCTGGGCCGCCTGGGCATCCAGCTGGATCTGCTGCTGCTGCTGCGTGGGCGTGATGCGCAGGAAGTCCTGTGGGAGGTCGCCGATGTACACCTGCAGGCAACAAGGGAAGGCAGGCATGAGGGCCAGCCAGCTGCTGCTGGAAAACAGCACAGCCCAACAGCGGCTTCCTCCGGCATTCCCCGACCCGGTGTCCACCTGGGGCTCGGTCCGGCCCACCCCCAACCATTTCCTGATCAAGTCCGGACTCTGCTCAGCCTTTGTTTCTTCATCTATAAAATGGGGGCCACAGAGGTCAAGGTCTTCCAGACTGTGACCTCGTATCATCCACCCCGAGTTTCACCAAAGGGTCCCCGCCCTCACGTGCAGGTGCAGTTTCTCACTCAAGACACACCCGACACGAGCCAGAGCCCTGTGAAGGCTCTTAAGATGTTTCTGCCTCTAACACGAGTTGTCATCCTCAGAGAAGGCTTGTTAGGTGGTTCTTCAGGTCATTTTCAAAGGGTCTGACACACTCCCTGTCTCTGTGTGCACAACCCTCTTTGTCCCTGTACCGCCGCGACAGAAGGCAAGGCCTGTGCACTGCACGTCACTCGGTCAACAAATGAGTGAGAAGAAACCTGAACCTTGGGTCCAGAGTTATTTGGAAAACCCTCTGTACTGACGCACTTCAAATATTCCCACTTGAAACAGTTCAAACTCACAGATGCCCCAGAAGAAAACAAGAAGTGAACAGATTCAAAACGAAAGCCTCAGAAGACGCCTCACTCCGCATGTACTCGCCAGCTTCTGTCCACCGCCTTCTGCTTGCCGAGGACGTACTGGGACTACAGACACGAGCCAGACCCACATTCATGCGTCTGAGCGACAACCGCACTACAGCTCTGGGGACACAGCCAGGGCAGCATCTGCGCCCTCCTGGGGACACACAGGGGGAGACTGGCACGCCAAACCTCACCTCCATGAGATTTCCGAAAACCCCTACCCCAAACAAGGGACACTGAAAAATCACTGACCAGACTCCTCAAATGGCCAAGGTCCTGAATAACAAGGGAAGCCTGAGAGACGGTCCCAGACTAGAGGAGGCGATGGAGACAGGACGACCACATGCAGGGCAGGCCCAGGACAGCAGCACAATACAGGAAAGCTGGGGAGCCCCTGCAAAACCTGGGGTTAAAGTCACGTACTAAAGTCACCTGCACAGCTGTGACAACCGGCTGTGCAAGGGGAGTGCTGACATCAGGGACTAGATGAGGGACAGGCAGAGACTCTTTGTGCCGTCTCTGCAACTTTTCCATAAATACAAAATTATTCCAAATTAGTTTATTAGAAAAAATTTCAATTTAGCCTAGGGAGACAGAGCAAGAGAGCAAGAAACAGCATTTCAGCCCTCACCAAATAAGCTGTCGGCCACGTTACCAGCGCTGCAGTCGGCAGCAGCTGCAGCAAACCCCTGCCGACTTCTCAATTTAGACTGAATTTGTCCAAATGAGGAAAGTCTGGAACTAGGGGGCAAGGAGGCCGGGGAGATTTAGATCTGATTTATTTGTACTTTTATATGCTGCTAGTTATTTTTTTTAAAAAAAACTTTCTTAACGACATATATGAATTACTTTTAAAATAAAGGCTCTCTGGGCCTTAATTCCTCTTCAAATGAAAAGCTACCTTCATACATACTAGTCTACTTTAAATACAGTTTCAAAAATGTTATTTGGTATTTCTTACAACTGCTGACTTTTCTGCCCCTCACAGAACTCCCAAAGGACCACAGTAAGTCGCACCAGTGACAGCCACCTCTCCCTACTGAGGCCAGATCGCTACTTCCCTCAGAGAACTTTTTCATCAGGAAAGAAAAAAATTTGCGAAATTCACTTCTCCTCAAGTCCAAATTTTAGTTTTGGCACAAAAAATACATATATATTTTTTTAGTCATGCAATGTGTGTAGTCACATAAGCTAATTTTCTTTTTGGGGGGATAGAAGGGGGGCACCTGGCCAGTATGGGGATCCGAACCTGTGACCTGGTTTTATCAAGCTGTACTCTAACCAACTGAGCTAACCGGCCAGCCCCAATTTTTCACTTTAACAACATAAAAATTACACAAACACCCACCGAGAATATTCCTTTTAGTGATGTCTCCAACGGGAAGAACCGGAGCCTCCTAGGCCACACCTTCCACCACATGGCACAGCCCACTCGCAGCAGAGACCCCCGGGCAGCCAGCACCAGGCTGGGGCAGGTGCTCGGGAAGACAGGAGTGCTTGGCCTCTTTCCTTCACTCCTGTCTCTCTCAGGAGCCTTTTTAAACTTTCTCCTCAGGCCCCTACAACATTTAACACCCAGATATACTGTCTACCGTCTACCTAAGCTTTTTCTATAAATACAGCAAGCATGATGCTAGTTCTTTAGGTTTAGAATCACCAAATCAAATTATAACAAAAACTGAAGAGCTACTAACATTAACTGTATGAGTGCATCTGTTGAGCAACTCGTAGTGTCATTTGTTGAAACTGTAATACGTCGTATACAAATTAACAATTTATATAAACACAGTAATAGCAACAAAACTGGAATTTTAAAAACTCATTCAACTGCCGTTTACCAACAAAAGTAAAACACTGGAAAAAATTAATTTCTTAAAAAGATGTTTTTAGTGAACTTAACAGTTAACTTTTGTTTGATATAAGAAAATAACTTTTAATTAGCTGCTTGAGATTCTTTCAGCAACTGACATAATTAAAGATGGACTGAATAAGTTTTGTGGAATTAAATCATGAAATGTAAACAATTCTCAATCTTCCAACCCCAAGTCACACACCGAGCACCAAGGATGCAACTCAAGGGCCCCACAGGCACCACAGGTGCTCCGTGAACTCGGCATGCGTTGGTGACACCCAGAAAGACACCGGGGAGCAACAACATGCTAAGAGTGTCAGTAAAACAAGTGGTGGAGGCCACAGACTGCTGTGAAATCCAGGCTTCTTCCTCCTCCAAGAACCACTCTCCACCCTGAGGGTCGACATGACCTTCACCCCCTCTGAGAATGCGTGTCCGGGGCCGCGGGAGCTCCCCACAGAGCCAGTCCAAGGAGGTCCCAAACACAAACACCCACTGCTGCCCCCACACTCTGTGATTCTAAAAGCTCACAGTATGGCTGTAATTCCATACTACTCCCACGGTCAGGAACCATGGCAGGAACAGCTGGGCCAGGCTGGTGTCTAAAGAGAGAGAGGAACAGAACAGAACAAAACAAACAAAGCCACAGTCAGAAAGCTGTGGACAAAGGTGAGGTCACAGCCCCACAAGCCTCTGCGTGAGGGCAGGGTGTCCACTGGGAGAGATGAGCATGTCATGGCAGCCAGATGAAGGTGGACACCTGGGTGCCCCGGCCATCCTGAGCCTCACTGCCATGTCGCAGGGCTGCCATGCTAGAAGACCCTGCATCATCCTGTTCCAGGCCACCATCCTGCAGGGACATGTGCACTAGATGCACACCCAGAGCCAAAGCTCAGCATGTACCACAGTCCAGCTAGGAGTGACCGACCACACACCTGTGCAGTGTACATGCAGGACCCTGGGCTGGAACTGAGGACAGTGGGCAGATCAGGATGGACCACCAGGGTGGCTGACAGTCCCCCTGGAGGCTGCCTCACTCCTCAGTGAGCGAGACCAAAGGCTTCGAGAGACTGATGTGCCACCCTGCACTTGCCCATGGGCCTACACACTTGTGCCTGCCCACTGGAGGCAAAGACACCGACGGTCACCACGCTGGTCACCTACATTTTTCTGAAAGTTCGTCATATTCCAAAATGTAGTCAGGAGAAAAATTCCAACTCTCCACAGACACCCAGCCTACTCAGGAGGCTGACCATGGCTGCAGAGACTCACAGCGCAGTGCTCAGCCCTCCACCTACGGCCACACTCCACAGGCCCCAGGGACACCTGGCAGCCCCACCTGCTCCCCTTTCAGTCCACTCCCACACGCTCCTCTGTCCCCAGCTCTCCTGCCCTCCATCTGAGCAAATGACCTTGCTTCTAGAAAAGGGAAAAGAGAAGCAACTGGGAAAGGAGGCTCAGCAGCCACCAGCTCCTTCTCCAGGCGTCCATCTGCTCAACCTGCCCACCAAGCTCTTCCCAGGCCTGTCCCTCTTGCCCACTAAGAAGCCAGCACCTGCAATGTCCTGCTGCATCAGCAACTCTTCCAAGGGGGACAGGGAGCATTCATTATTCATTCAAAAGTAACAGCTCACCAGTTAGAAGCAAAACCACCACAAAACCACCTCCTTGTACCCACCCCACACCGAGCGGCTGGCAAGGGCACCTGTCTCCCTGACAGCAACAGCAAGGGGGGCCAGGACATCAGGGCAGGCCACATCTCCAGCGCAGAGGACAACCCTGTCAACCTAGAATCCCATACACCACGGAACTGCCATGCAGAAATCAGAGAAAAGGCATTCACAGACAAAAATGGAGAGTATGCAAAAGGAAAGTGATTCCAAATGGAAGGTTGGAGACACGAGAAGGAAGAAGGCAAGAGAGAAGAAGATACACGCACACACGTGCACGAACACGGACGGCATGAGTGACCCCGTTCCTTGCAGGAGGTGGGGCAGAAGCAGAGCTATGGGGGGCATGGCGCAGACAGCAGCCAGGCCGGGAAAGGCTGTCTGCGCATTGATCAGAGGAGACAGACATGGTGATCAGCTTGAGACCCTGGTAAGTCCACATGCCCAGATTTCTAGGATAACCCCTGCAAAGAGAAGTACACTAACGTAAGTATTTTCCAAACCCACAGAAAATAAACAATTGAATTTTTTAAAAACTATGGTTAATAAATCCAAAAGAAGGCAAGGAGAGAAAAAGAAACAAGAAAAAATGGGACAAATAAAAGCACAAAAGTTAAAACACGTGTGTGGGCAAGTGCACATGTCTACGAGCGCAAGCATAAAGCTGCTTCACTTGTTGCAGTTAACAGACTCAGACGTCTGATATTCGACATAAGAATCCAGCTATATGCTGTCGATGATAAACCTATCGCAAACACAAATGTTCAGAAAATTGAAGACAGAGAATAAGGGGAAAAACCATCGGCAAATACTCTCTAAAAGAAACAAACCAGCTAAACTAGTATCACACACAGTGTAGTGGATTGAATTATGTCCCCCCAAAACTCACTGAAGCTTGCCTTGTGTCCCCCAAGTTTTATGTATTAGAAACTTAGCCCCCACTATGACCGCTAAGAGGGTGGGAAATCCTATTATGGTAATTGAAAGGTGGAGACTTAAAGAGGTGATTGGATTGTAGGACCATGAGATAGCGAATGGATTAGAAATGGTGGTTAGGGCGTGGTTCTGAGGGCTTTAACAGAAGAGGAGAGTCTGTCTCTTGCTCTCTCTGTTTCCACCATCTTGCAATGCGAGACCCCTGGGTCACTCTCGCCACCACCAGATGGACTTTGGAATTCCCAGCCTCAGAAACTGTAAGCAATAAATTTCATTTTCTTTACAAATCACCCAGTCTCAGGTATCCTGTTATAGCAACACAAAATGGACTAATACACACGGTAAGAGAAGGTGACAGGCTTCTACTACTTCTGAGAGGCCAGTAAGGTTGCCACACAGAGTCCACGGTCTGATCTACACAAGGCATAGCAGTTCTGAACCTGGCCTCAAAGAATCCAGAGCCAGCGTTTGCAAGGACCCAGAGACACGGGACTGTGCACCAGCTTGCACAGGAGCCGGGCTAGCCCACAGAAGCAAGCAGAGGACAAAGAGCTGCTGACTCAGACACCTGGACAGTGTGAGAATCCGTGGGAGCAAACCTGAAAATAAGTTTCCTGCTTATCAGAAACTAAAGGGAATGAACCAGGCATTGGCCTTGACTTCCCTGCCTGTACTAGCTGGATTTCTGGACAACCAGACAGCTCTGGCTGACGAGGAAAGCTTATCTCTGTAAACAGTCCAGTTAATAAATGTAGAACGAGGGGCCAGCCCGTGGCTCACTGGGGAGAGTGTGGTGCTGATAACACCAAGGCCATGGGTTCGGATCCCTATATAGGGATGGCCGGTTAGCTCACTTGGGAGAGAGTGGTGCTGACAACACCAAGTCAAGGGTTAAGATCTCCTTACCGTTCATCTTTTAAAAATAAATAAATAAACAAATAAATATAGAACAAATGATTAATTCACAAATTGCCCTTTGCCATCCCTGATGAAACCTCTCGTTCAGCAACAACAATCAATGCAGCACAAGGCCTGCAAGCCCTGGCCAGGCGCAGCCCCCAGGGACCTTCATGGAGACCACCAGCTGCTCCCAAGGGGGACAAGACATCCCAAGAGAAGCAGCCAGGCGGCCTCCGCCTGAACCCACTGTCCACCAGCACCTCCACAAGTAGGACTAGGAGTCACTCCCAGCCTGGACTGGACGTGACACACCTGCATATCTGTAAAGGAGGCCCACCAAAACTGCTGACACTGCTTGGCCTCCCTGAGCACCTCTCCAGCCAGCAGCGCAGCTGCGGCTCAAGGCACAGTCCCTGCAGACAGCCACCGAGTTCTAAAGTGCGGGCAGGGCCCACAGTCACTCGTGGTAGGTGCTCTTAGAGAAAGGTTTGTAACCCCAAACCACCACATTTATAAAGTGAGGTGAACACAGCAGAGCATGGTGTCCATCCCAAGGATGGGAACTGAAAGAAAGAACTACATCAGCTCTGCCGAGGGGAAGAGCGAGCACCGGTTCTTTCACAGCAGCGCTGGGAGACGTAGACGCGTGCTCACCACACCCGCCCTCCCAGCCCCTGAAGCTCCCTACCCACGGACAAAAGAACCCTCCCAGACCCCACAAGAGTCCCTTTGCTCCTGTGCAACCCACACAACTTAGCTTTTTGATCCTCCATCACC